TATTAACCTAGGCGAGCTATTTAGTATGTAAGGGGAAGGCTATAGCTAGGTATATAAGGTATTCTTTTGCTCCCGGGGGGTTAATTAATTTCTTAATTAATATAGCTATTATAGCGTTTTAATCTATGGCTTATTAGAGGTATAATAGGTATTAATAAAAGTAATAGATTAAGGGCTTTACCTCGCTAGATTATTTAATAATCTTATTATATTTAAGGATTATAATAAATTAATTACCTTTAATAAATTAAGTTAATAAGTAAATTATTCTATAATAAATTATAATTAGATCTTTTTTATCTCTTATTATCTCTTAATCTAAGGTAATAAATAATTATTAAATTATATTAATTAGGGCTTATAGTTCTTTATCCCGAGCTTTAAGTTATAATAGGCTAGGTTAGTCTTAGATAAATATTATATTAGCTATATTATATCTTTATAATATAAGCTTAAATTAAGCCTAAGAATTTTTAAAAAGTAAATAATAATCTTATATATTAACCGGACTTATATAATTAATTTATAAATTCTTATTATAATTCTAAACTAATAGATTATATAATATTACTATTAGGCCCGCTTTAGTCTCGCTTAGTTTATTATAGTCGCGATTATAAGTAGACTTAGCTAAGAGTAGAACTTTAAATAGTATAAGGATCTAAAGATATAGCTCTAAATAGAGGCTAATAATTAAATCTATTATTAATAATATAATAAGTAAGTAAGGTTAATAATAATATATAAACTCTACCTATTATAATTTAATTAGTATATAATAAGAAACAATAATTTACTTATATTATTATTAATAATATTACTAAGAGTATATATATTATAATATAAGTTATTCCTCTTTAGTTTATAGCGCTTTTCTAGCTAGGTAGCTATAATATTTCGGAGCTAATTAAGATATTATCTTTTAGGGAAACCTATATAATAATATTTTAGCTTATTCCCTTAGTATTAGCTATATAAGATACCTATATTTCCCTTACTATATATTAGAGGGCTAATAATTATAGCTTATATAATACAAAAAATATTACTTTTTTAATAGCTATAATTAATAAGATTATAACTTAATAGAGTACCTTATATTAATTAAATAAAGTATTATTATATTATAATATATATAGTAATAATAATATCTTTATATCTTAAAGCTCTCTTATCTATTATATATAGTTTTCTAGCTTTAATTTTAGTTTTTTTTTCTCTTAAGGATATAATAGCTAAGATTAGGGAGCTATATTATTTATATTAAGACTTTCTATTTATATTTAAATTAAATCTAATTATATTCTAATTTATTACCCCCTCGCTTACCTATTAGTAATAAAGATATAAGATAATAAATAAAACTTAAAGCGAAGATATAAAGAAAATAATTAATAGAAATAATCTTCTACTAAGCGATTAGCTATATATAGACTCGCTATTTTTCTTATATAATATTTTTATTCTAGGATAGCTATCGCACTATACCTAATTAAATTAAATATAAGCTAAGACTTTTAGTATATCCCGCGCTAAACTGCTTTAAATTAAATATAAGTTAAGACTTAAATATAGGCTATCCTCCTATCTAACCTATTTTCCTCTTTATTTTCTTTAAAATTCTATAACTAATTCTATAAAATAGCTAGCTAGCCTAGGAAATATCTTATTATTATTAAATAATTTATTTTAAATACTAAGCTTAGATTAGTATTATATTTTAAGAAAAATATCCCCCGAATATAGCTATTAGTTCCCTAACCCTAAGACCTATATTAATATATAATACTACGGGTAAAGGCGAGCTTAACTATAGGTATCGCAGGATAGTATTCTAAGGTTTAGTAGCATAGGCGTTAGATAAAGATAATAAGGAGGAAGAAATACCTCTTCTATTATAATCCTTAGGCTTAGATTATATTTTAGCCTTCCGATGCCCCAGGGCTATAATAATAATAGTAATATAAATGCTTAATATTATAATAATATTATTAGTCTAGTCTAAAGATATTGCCTAGGCCTTATTATAAAAATACCGCGAGATAAGTCTAGAGTAGTAAATAATAAAAATAAACTTATTAAGTAATAGAAGGTCTTAGAGGTCCCTTTAAATTTCTATATATATTAAGCTATACTCTAAATAACTACTAAGTCTATTATTTAATTAGATATAAATAAAATAATAATTTCCTTTTATACCTATTAGTTTAGCGTACTATTATATATATAATAGGGGGCTAATCCTATATAAAGGATTTATATATTAATCCTAACTAAGATATTCGGCGTAAGAAAATTAATCGAGACTATCTTAGTAGGGATTATAGTATAATATACCCCGGTAGTCTTAGGAAATTATAGATATATTTATCGCTTTATTATTATTATAAGCTAACCCTTTTCCTCCCTTATTTATAATATGAGGAAGGAGGAGGCTATAAAAAGAAGTTATACTTATCGAGGGATAGATTAGTAATATATTACTAATAGGTAAAAAAAGGATAATAATCCCGGCCTTAGTTATTATAATAGAGCCCGCTAAATATATTTACTTACCTAATTATGCCGGCGATTCTTTTAGTATATCTAGACCTCGACCTAAGAGGCTTAGATTATCTATATATTATGCTCTAGATAATAGTAGTATTACTATGGCTCTTAGATATAATAAGGGTTCGCGAGGGTTTTTAGACGCGGGCTTATTAGTTATTAATATCCCTAATATATTAGGGACTAAGTTAAATTAGCCTTTCCCGCGGAAGATACTTAGCTCTAAGTAAAATCTTAGTATTAATATATATAATAGCTTATTATCTAGCTTCTTTTTAGATTTTACCTCTTACCTTATCTTAAGTATAAATATTATTAGCTTATTAATATAATATATATTATCTTTGTCTAAGGCTCTAGGTAATAAGTAAGGTCTCGCTAATTTGCCTAAGACTTTTTCTAGATATAAAAAGAAACTTAAGAAATTTATTAATTAGTAATATATATCCCTTATTAAGAAGGGCATATTAAAGTATTTAGCTTATAATCTTACTACGTATTATATCTAGGTTAATAATAAAAAATATGATTTAGGAATAAATAGCTATATAAGTTATATAAGGCTATTTTTTCCTCTTTTAATAGGTACGCTCTTAAGAGGTACTTAGCTCTTCTAGGTATTAACTTAGGTTTTATTAGATATATTAAATAATTAAGATAGTAATAAAGATAGTAATATCCTTTTATAATTATTTATTAACTTAATTCTTATATAAGTCCCTTAGTCTAATAATAAACCTATCGTAATATAGCTAGGTATTATTATATAAGTATTAAAGTAAGGACTTAGCGGGGATAATAAGCTAGTTACCTTAGTAGGGGCCCTATGAGCTAAGCTTAGCTATAATAGACTTAAGAATTATTATCCTAAGGAGGGAGATTAGGCTTTTAATATCTTAGTTATTACCTAAAGGCTATAAAAAAGGGATTTTAATAATAGATTATCCTTATAAGAGATCTATATTATAGGTATTACTATCTTATATAAAGTATTTAATAGCTAAGGCTAGAAATACCTCGCTAATATATTAATATATCTTTATAGCTACTACTTATAATATTATCTCGCTAATCTTAACTATAAAGTAGGTAAGGTAGCGGATAAGATCCGCAAGGGTAGCCCGGCGATATTATTTAGCTTTACCTAATATTAGGCCTAGGCTATTTATTATAATAGCCTAAATATATTAATAATTAATAATATTTAATTAATTAATATAAAGGTATTATTTATCTATAAATAGAATTATTAATTAAGCCTAGCTATAATAAGGTTAAATAGAGATATTAAAGACTTCTTTATTAGAAATAAAATAGATATTAATATAGGGTTAGTATTTTTAATAAAGATAGCTAAATATCTTAGTAAAAAGCTTAGTTTTCCTAAAGGTATTTTAGCTAAGAAGATCTATGCCTAGCGATTACTAATAGTAATAATAGATATCTTTAGCGCTAATAATTATATTTTTATCTCTAAGAGCCTCTTTATATACTATAATAAGATTTATTTAATTAATAATATTAAGAAAGAAGATATGTTTTATGCTATAGCGCTTATTATTATAGATAAGCTTCTAGTTCTTTTAGAGATCTACGAGGTATTATATATATATATTATCTAGCCTATCCTAAAGTACTTTCCTATTAGTAATAATATATAAGATTTTCCTAGGGACTTAAGAGTATCTAGGGTTTAAATAGCTATAAATAATGATTTATTTAACTTATAGAAAATATCTATCTTAGAATTACTCGGTATTTATATACCTTTAGTAAGTTTTATAGAGGAGTTAGATAATATAATAGGAGGTAATAATAAGGCTAAGATAATATTAATCCGCTAATAATCTATTTTCTATAAATATTATAAAGATAATAAAGATAATAATAATAATAATAATAATAAAAGTAATAAAGAAGAGGATAAGAATTATTATTATTAATATAAACTTAAAGTTTAATAAGGGATTTTAGTATATTTAATATAAATAAGACTTAATTATATATATAATAATAGGGCCTAGATTATATATGCGATAGTAGGGACTTAATTATATAAGTAATAAAGATAAATTATAAGATATATCTTTAAACCTAACCCTAATACCTTAGTATAATAGCATTTAACCCAATTAGCGTTTAACCTAATTAGCGATTAACCCAATTAGTATTTACCTTAGCGTTTAACCCTATTATTATTTTTCTTTAATTTAAAATTTTTTTTTTTTATTAAATCTTTAAAAATCTATAATTAATTCTAGAAAAATCCTATAATTATAAAATCTTATTTTCTAAATAGCCCGTTTCTTAATAGATATATTATATTGAGCCGGGGTTTAGCCGAGGCCCACTTAGGGTTAGTTATAGCTTTTAATTGGCTGCGCTGAAAATGGTAGTTTGGAAGTGGTAGTTTAGCCCCCCTGCACGCAGATTTGCCCCACCTTGAATTTTTAGGCCAATAAGAATACGGCCCCAAACGCCTTGAGGGCTTGATGTTCAATGTAACGACCCTGCATAACAACAGCAGTTCCCTGGACGGGACCGCGGACCATCTTGGAACTACCATCGGGGAGTCGCAGGGCAGTCTCGCCACCGACCATGCCTTCGCAGTTGGAAAGCATGGTGACAACAACAAAGGGGTAAGAGTCGTAGTGCCAGGCCATGGCGGAGGTCTCAGCCTCCTTCTTGGCCATGTCCTTCACTTCGGGGTGCTCGACACTGTTCTCGCCAGCGTCGTTGATGGAAATGTTGGCGTTGCCAATGTCAAAGTCAATAGCGGGGATCAGTTCAGTGCCGGCAATAGCGGAGACTTTGCCAAGGACTTCGGGGGACTTCCAGGCGGCGTAGGTGAAGGGGGCTCGATTAAGACATGGTCAGCGCGTGGATACACGCATGTGCAGAGTTCAGACGAGGACTTACTCGGGACCCATGCCACGGGCCATATTTTTAATAAAGCCAGAAGTGTGCTGGCACTTACGCATAACCTCCTCGCTAAATATCTCGGCACGCATCTGTTCGATGGCCTCGGGGGTGAAGAGCTGAAAAGGCTCGCAGACAGCGTTGGGAGCAATGCCCTGGCCCTCCAGGCCGATCTCGGCCATTGTATAGATGCGCTTGGGCGCCTGGTAGTTAAGGTGCTTCTCAGCATCGAAGGGTTCCCGGACAGTCTTGGCGGCCTCGTCGATAAGGAATTGGGGGACTGGGTTGCTAGGACGAGTTGCTCGCTTGGTCTTGGAGGCAATGGGCTTGGGGGGCTTCTTGACCTCGGGGGTAATGTTAATGACAGCAGGCATCGTGATTGATGGTGTGTGAGATAAGGAAGAGGAGGTAGTACGGAGCAGGGTGCTCTACTCTTAAAGAAGAGAGGATATTAATAAGCCTTAAAGCTATGACAAAGGGACTTATCTAATATGATTTAAAGAATTGGATTTCAAGGCTAAACTCTGACTTCTTATATACCTGAGGTGATAGCGTTTTAGAGTGGGAGAGACGCTTTCTTTATGTTTATAAATAGCTAGCCGACGCACCTGCGCATACGATCTTCGGGCTCAGTTAACCCATCAAGGGCCGGGCTGCAACTATAATAAAGAACAGATCTCAAACACAATATAACATTATGACCCGATGTTAACATAGTGGCCTATTTAAACTTCTGCTGCAGCAGAAGAGTTATACCTAGCCACATCGTTATGAAAGGTCTAGCCTCTCATGGGTATTTTAACTGCTCTAACCTCCGTACGAGAAATAAGAGAATTATCTACCTTTCTATCTTCTTAAGCTGCAATCTCTTAACACTATGTCTTTAAACACGATGCTAAGAACTATAATCAATCGGCGGCACGACCCTAATAACACTGCCGCTGCTGCTATTGCCGCTATTGCTATAACCTATAGGGACCACTACCCTCTTCCTCGCCCTCTCGATGGTCAAGAAAGGAGGCACCTACGCATACAGATTTCTCCTTTACCCCACGTCGAGATAATCGATCTGAACCCCCATACTGCAGCCTAGGGAATCCGAGACGAAAGATTAATAGAGTAATAGTTCCTCTCGGTAGGACCGCATACTCCTTTTCCCCTTTGTGCTCTCGGGTCTACCTCCCGAGGTGTGCGTTAAGCCTATCAGAGTCTGTGAAACTCTACCACAACGCCCTTCGGATCCAAATCCGAAGGTGTGTATTTGACGGACCCGATAATCCCGAGCGTGTGAGTCCCCAGGTGCCACGACAGTTAGCAAGTCCAGCTATCTCGTGCATGGGGATATTGACCTCGCGATGCCATGATAGTGCTATGGCGCTCGAGTTTTACCATTATGTTAGATAATTGGTTCTAGAAGACGGCATGTCCATTCCGCGCCTCAAGCCACCTTATGACAGATCAACCGCTATTTTTAATCAGGGGCAGGCACGGCGTTATCACTGATCAGCCAGCTATCCCTAAACCTCTGCTATCGCCGTCCTTATTAACAACCACAACACTCAATTTTTGCCCGAAACAGCAGGTCTTTATAATTCCATCTTTATTAGGATCCTACCTTTTGTGCCAAATAGTCAACCGTCCACACAAATTATCGAAACGACTAAAATGTCACCCACTTATACCCTCTCTTCTTACCTCTGTAAGAACCTTTTTGCTTCTTTGAAGGAGGGGGGAGCTTTAGGAGAGTGTCAGCAAAGCCGCCCAGTTTTGTCTACTCCATTCACCAACACAGTCCTCTCTTGGGTCGCCGGACTAGACGCAAAACCGGCAGACTTTGAGACCTCTTTCAAGGCTGGACATGCTGGTGCTTCCTGGGAGGCGACTCTTTCCCATCCTATATACTCTAGCCTGCGCAAGCTTCCTACTAAGTAACCCAGATCAATGACGAGGATATGGATAAAATCTGGATAGGCAGTATTATGCCTATCTCACAAAGATTCTACGATTTACAAGAGTCGTTGATTGGAACTGCATCTAGTTGCTGGGGTAGGAGGATTATGTTATTAGTTAGCCTGGATTCACAGCATCTCCACCTCTTGATAAACATGCACTTTTTAAATAAGTGGGATAATAGCAGGGCCAAGGAAAGTAGTAAATAATAATCCACTCTGAACCGAACTCGCAGATGGAGTTGGAGTCCTATGGCCCTTGGTGGTGTCCTGCAAATGCACACAACTTGCATCGGCTTTCGCGATCCATTGCCGGCCTTTGTGGGGCTATTTTGTAAATCGACAAGAATGTCCTCAACGAGCTCTAAATGGCCTTCCTCGGGAACTTGAAGGTCTTTCCTGAAGTTTCGGTCCCGGACCCAGATGGAATGTTAATCATAGGATGTGAGGCAGCCTCGCATTCACAAGTTCGGCTCATATCCGACCGGCGAGCCTCTCCGTCCGGCTACCGCCCGTTCTGGTATGTACTTGCGCAATAGCAAAAGCGTCAATCTGAACCTTGAAACGAATCAATATATGCTGGGACATATAGACCTCCCCCCCTTGCCTTGATTCTCCCATGTTGCACAAAAACTCCATCTTTCAATGTCATATCACTACCCTAGATCTCGATCCAACATGCAAGCATCAAACAGACTCAAGTCCACCTTTGCGCAGGGGAAGCAGACGTTTGGCGCGTGGCAGATGCTCCCTGGGGCCAATATCTCACGGCTCTTGGCACGTTCTGGTGTGGACTGGGTGTTGATCGACTGTGAGCACGGCAACATTGACGGTACGCCTATTTTGGCAGGGATTGATCACTTGATGGAATTATACTGATGACATGACGCCGGTAGATGGTGCCATGCATGACTCGGTTCCTGCAGTTGCCGCGCTGGGAGTGTCGCCGCTTGTCAGGGTGGCAGATATGCAAGGATGGATGGTGAAGCGTGAGTTTCCATATCCTTACCTTTCCTTTCCTCCCCCACACGAGGAGGGTTGACTCATGCTGTACCTGAAGCCCGTCGTGACTGACTCCAAATCTTCCTCTAGGAGCCTTGGATAGCGGTGCTCACGGTGTAAGTCGGCTACGCCGTTACCGGAGGCTTTATAATGCTCATGAGACTAGATCATCGTGCCCCTGGTGCGCACAGTTGAAGAGGCCAAGCAGCTGGTGCTGGACGCCAAGTTCCCTCCCCTGGGGCAGCGAGGCTTTGGCTCACTCATCGCGCCCGAGAGATTCAACCCCAACCCCACTCTAACCGAGTAGCTTTACCAAGCCAATGACGCCCTCGTGACCATCATTCAGATCGAGACCCACGAGGCCTTGGAGTCAGTCGAGGAGATTGTGGCTGTGGACGGAATCGACGCGCTCTTTATTGGTCCGTTCGATCTCGGTCAGTTTAGCCCCTTACTGTTTCCGTTTTCTCCATGACCGGTTATTTTAACTCATTCAGGAAACAACCTCGGCTATCCTATCCAGAAAGGTATAATAGGGCCCGTACTTAAGGAGGCCCTTGCTCGCATCCTAGCAGCAACGCGAAGGGCCGGCAAGAAGTGCGGAATCTACTGCAAAGACGCGCAGAAAACGAGGGAGTTTGCCGCTCAAGGCTACGACATGTTAGTGGCTGCTACCGATTACATGGCTCTTCAAGCTGCCGTCAACGGAGAGGTGAGTTTAGCAAAGGGGGAGCAAGCTGGCAAGGGAACCTGGTGATAGAGAGGGCTAGAACAGCGAACATTAAGCAGTTAGAAAGAGTTAGAACAATTGCAAGTCTTACTTGACCTAAGCCTCTATCTATAAAATTGTTACAAGATAAATCATATACAAAGCAACTGCACTGGATAGCCACCTATCTAACCTTTACAGCCTATCAACTCCGTAACTCCATACTTTTTACACTCATTCAAGAGTCAACATGTTCTCTGGCATTGTGTCTGGATCCCCTATTTGTTGAACGATCGTCAAGAAGTCCTCTGACGAGATTCCAATATTATCAAGAAACTCTATGTTGCTCGTCAAGTGAGGATGCATGCAATGCATGGGATTGATCGAGTCTGGGGCCATGCTCAAGGCGGCATTCGTATCCGTCTCTGCAGAGAGCAGCCTCTGTTGTTGCTCCGCATCGGCCTTTCGAGCAAGTTCTGAATCTGTCTCGTCAGGTGCGGCGAGGGAGAGCGTCTGAAGACCTTGCTGTTGGACTTGAGCGATGAGTTCCTGGCATTGGACTTCGAGATAAACCAGCTCCTGCTTTCGAACGGCGGAGACTCGGTTCCCCCGGGAGATCATGTTATCCAGGATTTGGTGGCCGAGCTGTCGACAGCCCTGGTCATCGGCGACGCCAGGGAAGAGGGCCGTGGCCATGTTCAGATGAAGGGCCGCCCCAAAAGTGAACTCGAGGTCGTATGGTAGAAAGACTTCTAAGACATTTGTAAGTATTTGAGCCTTGGTGATAAAAGATGGGCCGCAAACCAAGAAGGCTGTATTCGGTTGTCAAAATCTGCAGGGTTTTCACGGCCGACTTGATGCCTGTGGAAATTACCGCGGCTGTCTGACTGAAGAAACTCTCCCAATTCTCGTCGCCTGGATGTCCCAGTATGTCCAGTCTCTCTTTCAGAACCGACAAGAGAAGAGGCCGCGTTGCAACTATGACACACTACAGACAGGTTAGACCTGCACATCATCTCTCCGGAACCATCATCTACTCACCTGATGGTATAGTAATGTGATGTAACGTGTCCCTCGGGGCATTGTGTCGACAGAGTTTTGGAACTTGAGAGTAATAATCTTCTCAATCTCTTGAGCATGATGCGCCAAGGTATGTAGAATAGCTCTTGTTTGCTCGAGAAATGTAACAAGCGGCGTCTTCTCAGGTTTATATAGTGCTTTAGGGTGTTAGCTAGACAATAGACAAATGCTAGAAGACATGGGCTTACTGGTGAGGATAACTGATAGTAAATGGGACAAGTTTACCTGTAGACTGCGAGCACTGTCCCCTTGGGAGCCAATATTCGGAGGGTTAACCGTCGTGGTTATGTCACTATCCTGCACCGACATTGGAATCCCTAGAGATGATGAAAAGTGCCGGTCCATGATATACAACGTCCACCAGAGATCACGACACGAGGTGAGTGTTTGGGAATCTAGCTCGCTCTCTGGTAACTGTGTATGAAGCCCTTCTAATTGCGCAATCCGTATGGCTTGGCCAAGCTACCCGGTATTAGTGTTTTGGGCGAGGAGCTGAATGTAACTACTCACATATACATGGGCTGACTCCCTCTCATCAATCGAGTACAGGTAAAGACCAGCCATAGCCAAGACCTCGATGGCCAACAGACTGTCCTTCCAGAGAGCAGTATGATCTGGCATCAGACCCATTGCCCGCACAAAGAACTTGGACCCCGGAGGCTCGCTGCTCAACGTCGGCTGTGATGTGTGAAAGGCCGTGCCAAAGGCCAGTATCAACAGGAACTTGACATACCAGAGGCGGTTCTCGACAGCCTTTTGCTGAGCATTGGCGTAGAACTCGCGGATCTGGTTCTCAAACTCGACCTCGTCAAATAATCTGTACGTCTGGCCGAGGTGGAACTTGAAGGTGTAGAAGAGGTAGATGGCGTGATCGAGGGATGGGAGACCGCTAATGTCGGGCAGGTCATGAGGCGACTGCGTGTTCCAAGAGATGGTGTAAATGTCATTCTCGACGAGTTGTGGAGGGATCATCTGCGCTCCAGGCTGTAGCTTGTCGCCCAACATGAGCATGAGGCGGAGGGTAAATGACCACGTGGACCAAGGAGCTAGCCATACTATCACAGTCGAGTCAGTATCGTATCAGCTATCAGAACAGGGCACTCACTCCAGGTGCGTCTGTTCTTGCGTGTGTTCTTGATGATTTTGGAGGGTATTGTGAAAGCACTCGGCCAGATGCTGAGCGGAGAGTCGGTCGGCTGGAAGGCTGGCACTTGAGCAGGGTCAGAGGGAGCGGCATGTTGTTGGGTGCCCTCAGCCGTGAGTGCAGGAGAAGCAAGAGCAGTATCGACCCTGCACTCACCATCAACGTCGCCATTGGGCCCAAACGCGACGTCGCTGGTGCGCTTAAGCCCCGGCGAAAACTGGTCGGCGAGTTGGGACTGGGACACGGGGGGGGAGCAGTAGGGAAGAGAGGACTGCGTCTGGATCGTGGGGATATCGAGAGGAGAGCGGTACTGGGGAGGAGCAGACGCTGCCTGGGCAGTTGGAGATGAGCGATAAGGCGCGTCTCCCGGTTGCTTCTGTGAGTCAAAGATGGTGCTAGACGGTGACCGTCGATGTTCCTCTACCTGCTTTTGTAGTTCTTGAAGATATCTACAGCCCTGGTCAGCGTCCAGATGAAGGCCATGAGAGTCCAAGGGGTGACAGACTTTTCAGACACCATAACCTTGGTGCCCCCCTCCGTGAAGCGACACTGGACGGAGCGTCGCTGGCAGTTCTGACAAGGGTCATCTCCCGAGCATTTTATCTTGCTCTGGCGACAAGCGACACATCTGTAGAAACATCAGACTTCAAAAACACGTCACTAGATAAGGGGGGCTTCTCACGCGTTAGCTGTCCTTCTGGCTTTGCGAGGCTCGCTCTGCGTATCTGCCGCCATGACAGCCTTGATCAGACTCGCAAAACCTACCGTCGACACGCTCCAAACGAGGCTCTCATGTAGACATGCGACAGGGCAGAAAGAATCATCCGGAAAGTCGCGAGAGCGAACCGGGATTTGAGATCACGATATCTTGCAGGCCATAGAAAAGGAACGGTTTCGCTGCGGACAAGAGGGTCCCTCAGACCCCGCACAAGCCAAGGGGGACCCGCTTACTAATGACTACAAGACAGAGATCGTGATTGGCCAGGTTGCTCCGTTACCGGGAATCCGGGGCAAGCTTTCACCCTCCACGATGTGATGGAGTGCAGGACTAACTCTTTTGGTGGGGGCACCGTCTGCAAGCGGTCTTCTAGAGATCTCCGGGTCATGAACAGGATTTGGGGATTGCGGGGTAGACGAACGGGATGATAGGTCAAACGAGGCCGAGTTAGCAGCGGACTTGTGACTCGGCGGTGAGATTGTTGAAGTGGAAAACATTTCTGCGCGTTGGCACAGAGGATATTGAGAGATAAGAAACAGGGCTAGACGATGCATTCGTATTCATTATCAGCTACTCTTCCATGAGAGCTGATCTCAAGCCCAGGAACGCAGAAACTCTATCAGGATCAGCCAGATGACGCCTCACGCGTAGCCTCACTTATTCCCACGTTCCCCTCACATGGCGTTCGCCACGACTCGTACCTTTTGGGAAAGCACTTGACAAACCGTACATAAGGTCAAAGCAGCAAAAAAAAATGGTCGGGGTCACAAGGCCACGACGTGTCAAGAGGTTGGGAGCAGAGCTAACAGGGATCGGCAACGCCCCCGGTATCTCAGCTTGCAGGGATCGGGAACTTTGCCCTCCCGATTGGTCGATGCTGTTATCAATTTCCCTTCTAGATGTCATCCACCTGGACTAGCTACAGTGGACCACCGCTTGGAATGCACATTTCTGGGTTCGCATTGGTCGGGATGTTTTATCCATTTCTTGTGGGAGGGGAGTTATCAATGTTGTGATAGCGATGAGGAAGATGCAATTCGTCTAATGCAACGGAGACGAGCTCTAAAGGTTGAAGCCATCAATGTCGAGATGTTATTCGTTGGGAGCCTTGTATCAGACCCTCTTCACAGGAAGGATTCTGTTCACCTGATAACGCCAGCTTCAAACTTGTCTCAACTTGGTTTAACAAAACTCAACTTGCTTTTTTCCTTTTGAATGACATGTCAGAAAATGCATCTCTAATCTATAGATCCATCCCATATCAAACAACCTCAAACTCCACGGCACCCCAGCCCTGATATTCGCACTTGTAGTGGCCCTTGTCCATGGGCATGGCCCGCAGGCAGCTGCCGGGCATGATGACCTGGCCGGCCTTGAGGCCGATGTCAAACTCGGAGATACGGTTAACAAGCCAAGCCACGGCCGCCAGGGGATTGCCAAGAATGTTTCTGGTGTTTCCATTCATTATCTCTTTGCCGTTATGGTACAGATAACCGTTCATATCGCCAAGGCTCAGATCTGTCAGCCGTCGAGGTGTGCCACCAAGAATTATTCTGCCCGTGGAGCCACTTGGGTTCGGTTAGCATTGCTGTCAAGCGATGGATCAGTGGGTTACGTACTTGTCAGCCAGGGTATCTTCAAGGGTGATGGTCCAGTTCTTGACGCGCGAGTCGATAATCTCCACGGCAGGAATGGCGTAGTCGACAGCATTGATGACATCCGCCACCGTCACATTAGGTCCCTTGAGGTCCTTCTTGAGAACAAAGGCAGGCTCAAGCTCCACAAAGGGTTTAATGAAGTCGTCTAGCAGCAGGGGCTGCCCCTCATGGTGGAACAGGCTGCCGAGCAGGTAACCGTAGTCCGGGTGCTCAAGCCCAAAGGCGTCCTGCATCACCTTGGCGATGTTTCCGAGCTTGTAGCCAACCAGACGGTCGCCATTCTTTTCGACAGCGGTGCGCACAGTGATCTTTTGGATCTCGATGGCACCCTTGACGTCGAGCTTGGGGAATGTCCCTGAGGGGGCGGGGATGGGGGTCTTGTTGAGGCGCGCCTGTCTCAGGGACTCGGCAATCTGCTCGTAGTCTGTGGTGGAAGCCATTACGCACGAGGAGGCTCTTGTTTGTTGGGTATTGATTTGTGTCTTGGTACTTGGGAATAGCTTCAAGCAGGTGCAAGCTTGCTTTTATGATGAAAAGACACGAGAATGGATTGACTGACACAGTAAGGCAATCCTCGATGGAAATCAGTGGGCTTTAGTTTTTATATCCTCTCTAGCAGCGCCCATATCTGTATTATATTCGCGATACCTCTCTACGGGATCCATTACCTCTTTGCGCAACTCATACGGAACGGATATGAGCCGACGGATGCAAGCCGTGGAGGGTTGAGAAAAAAGGACGTGTATCTCTTCCGCTACACTCTGCTTTTTTATTCTGTCACCTCGCCGACCGCCAACCGTTTACACCGTCTACGGGTCACGGACCCCGACTCTCAGACGCAACCTCGGATCGTCTCTACTCTAGAAGCCGAGATCCAATGTGCTAAAGCCTCCTCCTCCCCCGGCCCCATGAGCTTCCCCACGGCGGGGTATGCACAAGCCAACCTTTCCAGCCATCGATCGTGATGCAGGTCGTCAACCATCGGCTTCAAAAGGACTCCCGAGAGCTAAAGAAGAACCGAAGGTGGACCCATTCTTTGCCGGGCCTGGGCAGTGAAGGGCCGTCAGGTGACCCGAAAGTGGCTGGTCAAGTCCAAACATCGTTGAATCTGAGGCTCTCATTGAAATTTCCTATTCTGGAGTAGTTGATGGTCATGACCACAACGTGGGGACCTGCTACTGCTTCAACAGAGGGGGAAACAATTATAAAAGAAACATGGAGTGATTTCAGATATTTAATTCCTTTCTTTATCCTTATCACTGTCATCTACAACATTTAATACCATACCAAACACCAAAAACCCATCCATCTCCACAATGTTTGACGTAGTCGTGGTTGGCGCAGGCTTCAGTGGCCTCCAAGCTGCCCTGTCCGCCCAAAAGGCCGGCCTATCAGTCGCCGTCGTTGAGGCTCGGGACCGGGTGGGAGGTAAGAGCTGGACGGTTCCGCTGGCGAATGGCAAGGGTAATGCGGATCTGGGAGCCGCCTGGGTCAACGATCAGTTGCAGCCTCGGATCTGGTCCTACATTGAGAGGTTTGGCCTCACCGGCCAGATCTTCAAGCAGCGTCTTGGCGAGACGGCTATCATGGTCCTTGAGGATGGCAAGAGGATAGAGTTTCCCCATGGAATTACTCCCGAAGTACGTCTCGTGAAAAATTGTTAGTCAAGCCACTTACACCGTCGATAGTTCAGCCCCGAGGATAAGAAGAACCTTGAGATGATCCGTGACCACATCCAAGCCGAGTCTCTCAAGCCCAACGTCTTCCGTAAGGAAGATGACCAGTTGAGCCTGGACCAGTACGTCCGCAACCTTGGTGCACGCCCCAAGACTCTGGCCATGGTCAACCTTTGGGTCCGTGTCATGCACGGTCTCGAGTCTACTGAAGAGTCTGCCGCCTGGTTCATCGAGTACTGCCGGACCAACCATGGCCTTCTCGCCATCCGTGCCGACGATGTGACTGGTGGTAACTATATGCGAATCAAGTCTGGTAAGTTTCACTACATGACGCTTTTCAGGTTTGACAGCTGCCAACATGTCTCAGGTACCCAATCTATCGCCAAGGGCATTGCAAACCTCGTCGGTCACGCCAACATCCACCTCAACGAGCCCGTCGCCTCCATTCAGGACAACAAGTCCCATGTGATCGTGACAACAACCACGGGCAAAGCCCTCAAGGCTAAGAAGCTCATCGTCTCAATGCCCTCAGCCATGCTCAAGGAGCTCAACTTCTCTCCTCCCTTGCCCCAGCGCGCCCAAGAGGTCTACAACAACACCAAGCTCGGCCACTACAACAAGGCCATCGTCTTCTACGATAAGCCCTGGTGGCGAGACCTCGGCTACAACGGCTTCTTCATGGACTACCAGGGCCCCGCTTGCGTCGTCCGAGATACTTCCTTCGACGACATTGGTCTGTATGGCTTTACCTGCTTCGTAAACGGCAAGCCAGGTGAAGAGTGGGCGGCCAAGTACCCACACGAGCGCCGCAAGCTCATCCTCGACCAGATCGCCCGAGCCTTCAATGTGGGACCCGACTCGGTGGCTTATAGACCTATAGAGTTTGTCGAACAGGTCTGGCAACACGAGCAGTTCAGCCGTGGCGCTCTGGCTCCCGTCACCAAGATTGGCCACCTCACAGAGTACGCTGAGATTTATGGAAAGCCCATTGGAAACATTCACTTTGTGGGCACTGAGCATGCTAAGCACTGGAAGGGATACCTCGAGGGAGCTCTCGCGTCCGGCGAGGTGGGTGCCAAGGAGGTTATCGAGGCCCTAGGGCAGCAGCCTCCTAAGTCCAGGCTTTAAAGCAAGTGTAAAAGTTTAATAATGTCTTGTTTAGTTGTTAGTCAGCCTTGCATTATTAGCCTTGGTTGTGTGACAACACTTGGTCTGCATAACAGTCGAAAGTGAGACTTGTCGTAGAATATTCAACATCTGAGAAAGGACATCCCTGGGTATCTCGGTTGGAAGCATCCCTGCGTTTACCACTGGCGCTTTAATTCACTTCATCATGGAGAAACGTGCATTTTAGATTTATGGTGTCAAGATTGCCCATTCTGGAGGCCTGTCTAACTTGTCTTGACAGTTCTCTTGACAGCTCTCAGAGAGCAATGCAGAGTCTTGCTAGAGAAGCAAGGTTCATCATTCACTCGTGATAGATTTTTTCCTCATGCACCAGCTACGCACTACATAACCAATACAGGCTGCTTTGGAAGTAATGCCGTCCAATTCTCATCCGCCCCTCGAGCCCAGATCCTCCTCAACGACTCCAACGCTTTGGCAATATTCATAAACCCGTTCCGATGGAACTGCTTCTCTAAGAGCCGTGTAAAGAACTGTTGGTGATCTGGATCATGACTTTCCGAAGCAGCAATAAATATAGGCCATACCAGTACATGCTCGCCTGGAAGAGCCTCGGGAAATGACTCAAGCATCTGCTTAAACGTTGATATCAGATCGGCAGGAGCCGTCATACCAGCTTGGACTGAATATGCCCGGTTCAAGTAGATCTGAAAGGCCTGATCTCTGAGTTTTGATATCAGATCCAGAGCACGAGAGTGGGTTGGGTATGACTGGAAGTAGAGTTGCTGATCTGCCCAGCTTTGCCTGATTTGTGTTGCGACAGCGCTGACGCCTTCATCTTGGCTCATGAACGGCGAGGCGTATACACGCATTCTGTTGAGACTTGTTAGAATTGCGTTTGCTAGTCAAGAGATTCTTGACCACTTACTTGCGAACCTGTGATGCAGAAAAGTCGGCAATGGCCTTGCTACCGGCTGCAAGCATAGTCTCTCCCCCCACCATGTCTAGAGCAGACTGCAACATCCGAAACATTATTGGAAAGTCTGAGCTCCCATTCACCATCATGCCGAGAAGCAGAACAATTATGGAAACGATGATGCGATACCTTGAGTGGATATCATACTGGTGCAAGTCTTGTCGCTTCTGGAGATTCAAGATGGCTTTCGAGTAGAGCATGCCAGCGTTGACGAGATGATGGCTTTCGGCTCTTTCCGATAAGTGGAAAGCCGAGACTGCCATTACAGAGCTCATGACGAGTTCATCCATACATGCCAAAGGGATAACCAAGCTCCGCCAGCCGTTGTTACGGTCATCAATAACTACCATCTCTGGGGCGATGTGATCCGAGACTGAATCGCCGTCAGTAAATTTCATCGGTCATGCAACAAGTACTTACAGTGCTTGAGCAATAGTCTCTGCCATGCTGCGATATGATTCAAGCAGGGGAGCACTGAGAGTGGTGTGTGTTGGATGGCGCTCTGTTTCGGCCCAATAACAACGTCACCCCGGACGAGTTGATTCTGATTGTCATTTACTCGCTCCTCAGCGACCGGCACGGAAGGTGGTAGTGGCTGAGGAACGCTTGGTGGTCCTCGTCTCCCGTCATCGGGATGCTCGGAATCTAGGGGGAAACGATAATGATCGGAAGAGCGGGCGAGGCGATTTCTCAAAGGGACCCCCTTTCGCTTCGCGGCCAGACCGTTTCGGAATCTATACCTAGGTCCGATTCCGCTACAGGCAACACCCTTTGAAATACATTTGGCGCACTCGGGTTCGCCTCTATCGCAGTTGATCCGGCGCTGCGAGCACTCATAACATCCTAGCATCCACAAGGTCAGATTTTCGTGTCAATACTAGACATATCCACTCACCTTTGACCTTGGGGACATATCTTCTCGGCGCTCGAGTCATTGGCAGCTGTGGAGAGACGGGTCGTCAGAATCGGAGGGTAATCCAAAAACGGAGATAGAAATGAGAGCGACGCCAGTCCATCAAGTAATGTTTCCACTGCGATTCGGCATCGGACCCGAGAGTGGATCTGACCCTCGCTTCCCCCACCCGATGAAGGTGGAACGAGTAAGGGGAGCGCGGAGGGGTTCAAAGAAGCATGTCCGGGTGACGACGGTAGGTTTCAACATGGCAGGTAATTGGAGATGCAATCCAAGTCTTATCTACTGCTGAGAGTTTTCTCCTCTTGTTACTGCCAAAGTAAAGCAGAGAAAGATCCAACGACGAGTTGGACACGACAAGTAAGTTGCGCTCAAGGTTGAGCCAGCTGGTCAACAAGGACATTGCTGCAAGGCAAAGGATGGGTTTTGCTATATTCTGGACTAAATCGAGGAACAAATACCACTCATAAGCGGAGATTCTGTTTCTCCAAGTTATATATTTCCCCCTCGGGTCGCTTCTCGGCCATCTTTCCTGATTCTTAATGGGATGCGCTGGCTGGTGTTCCGAGGAGCAATCTTCCATTGATAGTCCTATTCTCAACACACACGAAGCGAACGAGCCATTACTAGAGTTGCTAAAGGGTTATAAAGTAAATGTAGGGAAGAGTGCCTGGGGTCTATAAGTAAGTTTACCTTCTGGTCACATAATAGATAGCACAGGTTGAAACGGCTGTTCCTTGCATAACCTGGCTCGATTTTATTTAGGCCACGGCGCCTCTTTCATCGTCTAGGGGGTGACTGGCACAAAGGAATATAAGCCACTTCACAACCCTAGTCCTTTGATGGGAATAAAGACGGAGGGTGTCGCTCTTGGCTAGCTACAGTGGGCAAAAGGAATGAGAGCCAGCACCGGGGCAGGAATCGGAGTCTGAGACCTGCATAGCCGGCTCTATGTGCATACCCGAGATCAGGCAGACGTGGGCAGCACAAACCCATCAGCAAACCGTTGCTTTGTCTTGGCTTCTCTTTCAAGACCCCCACGTCCATGATAACAGACCCTCCGTATCACTTGAGCAACTGGCGATTGCCATGTACCAGGTCTCGGCTCTGAATCCTCCCAAGCCCCGCCCCTAGCCAAACGAGGAGAGCATCTCGGCTTCTGAAGCCGAGCCTCTAACCATACGCGGGGTAGAGCCAGTGACTGCCAGACCAACGAATGAGAGAGCGGTTCATGACGTCGGTATCTCATTGGCGAATTCCATCTCGATTGCATCCGTCATCGCTTCTTGCCCCGCAACATCCCCACACAAAAGGAAGAGAGCTTCTGCTCTAATTAGGTAGCTTTGTTGCTCGGCTTCCAACACCGACAGCTTACATTAATTCATCCTGATGCTGCACGCCGAATATTTGGGCACCGGCATTCAACGGGAAATATCCCGTGGCGATTGAAACGGCCAGCTTCTCCAAGAGACTGTCCCGTCAAGAACCGGAGATAGAGACGTCAAGACTGAGCGAACCCTCCCATCGTTGCCATAAGTTGGTGCTATATCAAGCTCCAACCCGCTTTGATTCATCACCATCTTCAAGCCGAAACTCTTCACCAACACCGAGCCATCCTTAATACACTGTCAGTTTCACAATGGCATCCATCGCTTCCACTCTCAAAGACGCCAGCCTCGTCGCTGACAAGTCTTATATCAACGGCGAATGGGTCGCATCCGTCTCTGGCCAGACCTTTGAGGTCCGCAACCCAGCTACCGACCAAGTCATTGGCACCGCGCCCGAGTCTACCGTTGACGATCTCAACAAAGCCATCCAGGCCGCCTCAGATGCCTTCCCTCTATGGCGAGCCCAATCAGGCCGCCAGCGTGGTCGCATTCTGCGCAAGCTCGCCGACCTCATCACCGAGAACAAGGTCGACATTGGCAAGGTCATCACCGCCGAGAACGGCAAGGCCAAGCCCGATGCTGAGGGCGAGGCTCTCTTCTCTGCTGGCTTCTTTGAGTGGTTCGCCGAGGAGGCTCCGCGACTCTACGGCGATGTCGTCCCTCATGCCCAACCCAACGCCCGAATCCAGATCCTCAAGCAGCCCGTGGGCGTCTGCGGCTTGATCACGCCCTGGAACTTTCCCATGGCAATGGCTGCCCGCAAGATCGCTGCCGCCCTCGCCGCTGGCTGCGCAGTCGTTGTAAAGACGGACGGTGTCACTCCCTACTCTGGAAACCTCCTCGCCGTCCTCGCCGAGCGCGCCGGCGTCCCCAAGGGTGTCCTCAACATCGTCACCGCTCTCAATAACACCCCCAAGCTTGGCCTTGCCCTATGCGAGTCTGATACAGTCAAAAAGATCTCATTCACAGGTTCGACCCGAGTCGGAAAGATCTTGATGAAGCAGTCGGCCGATACCCTCAAGAAACTGAGCCTTGAGCTAGGAGGCAACGCCCCCTTCATCGTCTTTGATGATGCCGACCTCGAGACGGCCGTTGCCAGCGCTGTCATCGCCAAGTTCAAGGTCTCTGGCCAAACGTGCGTGTGCGCCAACCGAATCTATGTGCAAGAAGGGATCTATGACCAGTTTGCCAAGCGACTGGTGGAGGAGGTAGGCAAGTTCAAGGTTGGCAACGGAACTGATGCCTCCGTCACTCATGGCCCCATGACCACGAGTGTCGAAAAGGTCGAGGAGCACGTCAAGGATGCCATTGGCAAGAATGCCACCGTCCTCTTCGGTGGACAGCGGTTGCCCGACCTCGGCAAGAACTTCTTCCAGCCCACCATCCTCGGCGATGTAAATGACACCATGGCCGTTACCCATGAGGAGACGTTTGGTCCTCTTGCGGCCCTGACAAAGTTCAAGACCGAGGACGAGGTCATTGCCCGAGCGAACAAGTCTGAGGTCGGCTTAGCCTCATATCTCATGACCACCAACCTGGCCCGGTCGCACCGCGTGCAAGAGAGGCTCGAGTTCGGCATGGTTGCTATTAACACAGGCGTCATCGCTGACTGGGCAGCACCGTAAGCTTACCTTCTCTAATACATTCTCGGCAAATGCTAACCAGTTGCAGTTTCGGAGGTGTTAAGCACTCTGGCATGGGTCGCGAAGGCAGCAAGTACGGAGTTGACGACTACATGGTCCTTAAGACTATTGTTACCGGCGGCATTGATACTGTTTATAACCCCCGTCTTTAAGAAGCGAGTGCTTTAGAAGATATCAGGCATATATTGCGAGTTTAAAAGCATAGTATAAATGGATATTAGTAGCTTACTTGCCCTTAATTGTAACGATTAAGTATCCTACTATACTAGAACATTAGCTTCCAGTTATACTCGTACCTACTATCCTATTATTAGGGGTAGCCTCTATAGAAGAAACTGTCTAAACTGTTATTACTATTACCCAGTCCTTTAAGGCAGAATAATAATCTATCTTAGGGGTAGTATTATACTAGACCTCTTACGGTCTTTAAGCTGCCCACTATTTGCTTATCACTAACCACTAACGATGATCAGGTTACCTGCTAGGTACAACTCAAAGTTCCCAAGCAAATCTAGTAGAAATTGATTTATGGTGTATCCTCTGGGATGTATTATCAGGAGACGGCCTCCCCTCGGCGTAATAGCACGATGCTGAACCGTCGCAAACCCTTCTTCACCGCCCAAGTTCCCCGATATGAAATTCGCCGAAACGTTGCTGCCTTTGCCGCAAAGCCATCGGTATGATCCGAGCGGTAGGCACAGGGCCTTGTTGTCTCTGTCGAACAAGCCTCGTATTGGTCAGGATGCGAGTTGGGCATACGGATATGGTGATCCGCGTGGCATAGGTTAAATCAGGAGCAGGGGGTGGCCAAAATACCCAGTCCCTAAATGCAACATTGTTATGGAACCTCGCCTAAGGAACGCCTCTGAAGTTTCCTTTAGCCGATGTGTCTTAAGCTTCCTGTTTGAGACTGTTGCGTCCTGTCATCAGGCGAGATGCGGTATTTCGGCGCCTTGGCAAATTGGGATGGAGGCGAGACCGTACGTTAAAGATTGCAAAATGTGATTATATCAGATTCCAGAGGCGTCTCGATTCAATTCATTGTTCATCGTGAATCTCCACCCTGAGCCCTCATCCCGCTTTTGATCATCCCACGGGTAGAGTCGAGGCAGAGGTCCTGGAGGTACTGCTCGAGACCAGGCCGGGACACTTAATTTCGAGATTAGATCACTCTATTGTTTATGCACTTGGGTTTCTCTTTGGTCCGGATGCGAGACGTCTAAGTCCTAGTTTTGAGTTCTTGCTCTTGAGCTCTGTCTGCATGAGTTGGCAACACTCATACATCACACGTTACGTAGCGAGTGTAATGCAAAGATTTGAAAGAACCATACGATAATAGAAATATAAAATACGTGCCACTCGAAGGATTCTTAACCTGGGTAGAGACACGTTAGTGCGGCACTGTGCATAGTGGCACGCTTGGCCATTTCAGATTCCTGGGAGTGCGCCCAGCCTCGATCCCAGCCTGCAGCGTAATTGAACCTATCACTGAAAGACTTGAGAATGCTTCAAGCTTTTACTAAATACTACCTTCCTAGAGTATTGAAACAAGGCCAAGATCAAAGAGACCCGGCTTCGGCTGACCGTATAGTGCGGTATTAACCACGAAACGACGAGCCATGCCGTCTACCTATAGAGAGAAGGATAACAGTCCTCGTTCGACAGCTTTCTATATCAGCACCATCATTCATCTACACACTTAACAGTCCAACGCTTGAAGGCCCGCAACATGAAGGCTTGTCTTGCCATCCTTCTGCCTTTGGTTTCGGCCGTGGCCGTGGTGAGTTATATCCCGGCACCGTAACAGACACGACGCGTCCCAATGCTGATTTGGCTTGATTTCAAGAACGTACCTAGGAGCATTCCTGATGGTTATGATCTCTCGGGTGAGCTTGAAGTCATTGGTCCTCTGGAGAAAGGAGGAAAGAATGTCACCCTAAAGGGAACAGCAGAGGTAGCTATGACCGCCCATTCTCGATTGGCACGTGTCTAACTTGCAGTTTCACAGACTGTTATTGCGCAGATCAAGGAAGCAAACCCAGACTTTGAGCTAGACGATGTTGAAAACGTAGAGCCCGAAGAGACCAAGCGGGACCTAGTTCTCGAGTCTCGTGCTCAGGCGGTAAGGTTGCCTTAGTTCCTCTACCACTGACCTGCTAACTTCCATCTCCAGACTCACCACTTCTGCCGCGCCGGCAAGATCGGCTACTGGGGTGGAGGCGAAGCGAATCGTGACCAGATTGCCCGTGAAATCGGTTACCTTCGCTCCATCGGCAGCCGAACCTGCGGTGTCAACGCTCGATCTTGCGTGCGCATCTCATGCTCTAACAATGCGGGCATCTGGTGGTGCAACGACAACAACTACCACGTTGGCGAGAAGTGCAATGACCTTGCTAATCTGGCTCAGATTGCCGTCTATAAGTGCGAGCGTCATGTCAAGGCCACGTGCTGGTTCGGACACCCCGTGTGCTATGACTGCGGATGTCGGCCCATCGATGATCTTCGGGCTCAGTTAACCCATCAAGGGCCGGGCTGCAACTATAATAAAGAACAGATCTCAAACACAATATAACATCATAACCCGATGTTAACACAGTGGCCTGTTAAACTTCTGCAGCAGCAGAAGAGTCATACCTAGCTGCATCAGCTTAAATACAACATCTCGGCGAATTGCCAAACTTGTCTGGTTGGCGCACACATCATCTTTGAACACAATGCGGCCCATCGATAACTGGGTGGTTTGGGGCTAGCAGTTTAGCAGCCTTAATCATAATGTCATTGTCACCGTTGATAAGTGTTAGAGGGCAAGGCGAAAGTCTCGGGTAGTTAGGGCTATGGGTTGAAAGGTTTGTCACAGTCTAGGACTGCCGTTCTCTCTTTTATTGGTGAAACGCCTTGAAGACGTTATCGAAAGGGCTTGTTAAGGAAAGTCTCTTCTCTTCTCTATAGTTTAGATACTTGATAATAAAGCTACCCCGCCTTACTTAATCTCAGGCCTAGCCTAAATAGTATATGTTCGGTAAGTTAATCTTTTTAAAAAATGCTATTTATAGGGTTCGCGGAAGCGGACCAAGGTCCCGATATCGTGGTCCGACACTTGGAACGTACAGTACTATCCCATCTATCTTAAACTGCCTATGTGTCATGGATTGTGGTGTTTTACGGCATCGTTTTCACGGCGCTGTTATATCACAAAAAAAGTATCTTTGCCACTGCGGTCAGCAATCTCTATGACTCTATGAGAAAGGACGCAGGCTCGTTAACAAGTGCCATGTATCATTGACGAGCAGACCTCTTGTCTAGAACTCAATTGAGACAAGTTGATCTCTAATCAACAACCAGCCAACGAATAATCCAACTGAAGCTTAAATGGCCAAGAACAACCAACAGCACCTAACACATGTGCACCAGTGGCCAGAAATACCTCGTTGACGTCAGCATGAGGAGGAATCGGTAGGAATCAGGTGACCCATTCATTTGTTTCATAGAAACATGGACCGGGAATCATGCACTCGACTGAACAGCTGGTCATGGCCTTGACCGCGACCATGGCGGACCTGTTTGCGAGAGCTGAAGTGTCCAGGATGGCAATGCGAGCCGTGTTTTACTTTTGTTGAGTGACCCCAGAAGAGATTCTCCTCGCTGGTCCAGCTGTCCGGAGACGGCAGGGTTGGCAATTTCTCGAGAGCTGCAGGTCTCACCTAATCGAAAGTCGGTGGGCAGTAGGAGATAAGGTGCCCCTATCGGTTGGTCAATGTCGAGACCACGGCATCAGTCCCTGCATTATGACGCGACCAGAATAAGCACTAGAGGACCCAACCGTCTCAAAAGTTTCAAAAACGGGCCAGGGGCAAGACGGGTCGGCATATGGATCGACACGGTAAAATCAGCCGCTGACTCCGAGGATCAAAATAGTAGCGGTCATCAGAGCCCTATCATTAGATCCGCGGGGGAGACAGATAAAAAGTCGGGGCTGCAAGTTGCACCTCCACCGTAAACACTGGGCCAGTCAGAAGCTGGGAGTGGGCAGAGGGCATGGCGTGCTGGCCGGGCCCAACATCGACGTTGCACAACGGCCTTCTCGGCCTTGTTAATACGGGCAACACAGCAGTACAAGAAAGGGCACAGCTGTGACAGACAAACCTGCTGTGGACAACAAGTCAGGCTATTTTTGAATACTCGTAACGCCACCCGATTCGCAATCAAGACCGCATCTGAGATCATAGCCAAAGGCTGGCTCAAACGCAGTCAAACCGGCCACGATACCATCTCACGGTCAGGTCGGTTAAGCAGCATAAAGTCATGATGCTTCAATAATGTATGCAATCATCCTGTGCCCGGCCTCTTTCAGCTGGGCTGATCTGCCCTGATGGGTGTGCCCCAGCGATTGCGCAATTTCCATTGCCTCTACGACTGCATAACTTTTTGAGGCCCCCGCAGGACCCAAGTCTCGACCTGCAGCGGCACAGACGGGGAGCCCAATTGCCGGTCAAAAATGCAGTGGAGGATCTGCATAAAATGCCTCTTTTTGTGTTATTTGCCGTGTTGTCTTGGTACCCCTGTCCATGAGGCTCTTGACTCCCCGCAAAACGTGATCCTCGTGGAAGCTGACAGCGTCTGCGAGGCGAACGGTTTGGGAAACACGGCTGTCAGGTGAAGTGACGGACTAGGAGAATGTGAATGGTGATCAATTTGGGTTCCGGAGCCTGGTCTTGTACGGTGTTCCTTGAACAACAAGGCATACTGTAAAATAATGCTCAGTGTGCAGTCGTTGACCAGTCCATTTCTCTCTCACACACATGGAAGGATCATTACACACACTAACAACAGACCGCTTAAACCATATCTCTATTAACACACTGATACCGAGGCTCAATGTGAGTAGAAAAGTGAGGAAAGCATGTCCCGACATCAATGTTGCGACACCACGTTATCACGCAATCGGCTCGTCAGCCGAGTTCAGGCACATCTCAGCCAAAAGTGCTACCATCCCTAACCACATCTACTTGCGAGGTGCATGTCAAGCTGCCATATCATCAAGGTAGCGCTGAATATAAACTAAATCCCAACGGCTTTCCAAAACGGTGTGTGTTGTCACCGAGTGTTGGCCTGCCGTCCCGCATCAATAGTGGTTGCCAGCCTGCTCCCGTCCTGCAGCAAAAGAGGTTGCCGTCCTGCATCAACACGGGCTCTCCAGCAGATACGAGCTTATGGCTGACCTTGGAGAAGCCTTATTTGTCCCGCGGGTGGGTATTGGGTCGAGCATGTGTAACCTGACTGGGATGATCATCGCCCGGGTTTTACGTGGGTAAAGCGTGGCCAACAGTCAAGACTCTGTGAGCAACGTGCGGCTGAGGTCTGGATGCATCTTCCAGCCTTCTCATCTCGTCATTACTTCTGGCTGGTAAACATCTCCAAGGGGTATAGAGAGAACAAGCAGAGTTTCTCTATAAGTATCCTCTTATCCTCTCCCTCAAGGTTAACTCTCAGACTCATCCCCACACACCAATCTTTTCAGCAAACCACTCTTTACCTCACACACCCAAGCCTTTCGCTTCATCCCACAAAATGAAGGTCTTCACTCTCCTCGTGCCTCTTCTCTCCGCACCACTGGCCTTTGCCGCCCCCGGCGACTATGGCTATGGCTATGGAAACACCAAGACCGTGACGGCCACCGTCACTGTCACGAAAAACTACCCCCAACCTCCTGTCACCAAGACCAAGACCTTGACAGTGACTCAGCCCGCCGTCACCAAGACCGAAACGGTCTACAAGCACAAGCCCCCAGTCACCAAGACCATCACCGTCACCCAGCCTCCCGTCACTGTGACCAAGCCTCCGGTTACCGTGACCAAGCCTCCCGTCACTATCACCAAGCCCCCAGTGACCAAGACCGAGACCGTGTACAAGCACAAGACTGTCACTGTGACGCAGCCCGCGATCACCAAGACCAAGACCATCACCGTCACAAAGACCGTGACCGAATATCCTCGCAAGACCCACGACAAGCCCGGCTACGGCAACCCTGGCTATGGCAACCCCGGCTACGGCAACGGTGGCGGCAAGGACAAGGACAAGGACGGAGGTAAGAAACTCACAGATTCTTTGAGACATGAGAGTTGCTAACATATCATAAGACTACTAATGGCTTTCACCCATGAGAATTGGGTGGGCTCAGTACTTTAAATGTTTGCCCTAAGGGTAGAAGTGCTGGGTTTCGATGCGCCGGGATGGATGGATTCCAACACCACGGTCCTTTTTGAATCTGCCTTACTGCTTTGCCTTTTCTACCCCCTGTTTTTATTCTTGCTTCCATCCTTTATGCCGACTCATATCCACTGCCCTTGCTGTGGTGAGAGTCCAAGCTTTGGATGGCAGCCTGGTTGCCGAACGGTGATTAAAAAATATTCTCTTCGAGACATTCTTTCACATAGTAAGATATAGCTGCAGTATAGTTACGACGGTCCTTGGGCTGTCTTGGATTGGAACATAAATAAAATGTTATTGACGTCTACTTGATCCTCGCCTGTTATTAGCACAACTTGTACTTGAGTTAGTGAACTCTTCTTTATATCTGTGATTCCCTCGTTAGAGATCAGAGCCACGACCTTGGATACGCTGTGAACTATCCGGGAATGTTTTTTTCCGGTGTTTCCAGTTTAAGAAATCAAACTTCCACAACAGTCTTCCAATACCTATGTGGAACACAAAGAATGAAACAAGTGGATAGCAAATGTTGAACAGTAATCATTGAAACTTCTTTCATATCCCTACAAGTCAGCTATATCTTCCACAATCTACTTACCCAGATGCAGGTCGCTTCGCAAAATCTCAATATCAGGGTTCCTGTCCACATTCTTAAGCGGCTTTGTTTTGTTCTCAAACAGCAGCTTCAACAATCCAACCATGACCTCATTTACCACCTTTTCGACCTTCCTTCCATCCAACTTTCCAAATACCTCGTCCACTGTGGGCTGCAACTCAGGCGGAACCTGGTACACCGTCAGCAGCAACGGCAGGTCCATAAAGGCATAGTGCTGCGTGTCCCTCACCGCCAGTTCCATCTTGGCAGCGTCCACCTTGTTATAGAACTTATCCCACTCAGGCACCGGTGCTGAATAGTTCCTCCCAACCAGAATGAACGGTTTATCTTTAAAACCCTCCTGGCTCACGGGTCCGTAGATCGAGCCGTCAAAGTTAAGCCCTCCGATGACATTTGGGTCATGCTGCGCGGTTGCGGCGGCTGTGGCTCCACCAAAAGAGTGTCCGTAGACGACGACTTTGTGGGGATTAAAGGTGCCTGGGAAGTTGGCAAAAATGGAGTTTGTGACGGTCGTATTGGAGAGCTGGGATATGAGGAAGGATGCGTCGGCCGTACGGACCTGGTCATATTAGCCAATGTTGGACTCATTTATCTACTGCGAATGATTGCTTCAGGCTAGGCATGGACTTACTTCTAGCTGCTTGAGAGTTAACGTCTCATTACCCAAGGCTGCATATGCAGTACTCCCATCGAGAAACTCAACGACAGAGGTTTCATATGTATGGTCGAGCGTCACAATGACATGCCCCAGACTGGCCAATGACCTCGCGAGCGCACCATATACAAACCTCGTGCCCTGGAACCCCGGCGAGAACACCGCCACAGGAAACTTCTTCCTCTCCTTATAGTCTCCGTCCAAATTGAGCGCCTCAATATTGCAGAACTCCATTTCGAAATCTCCAAATAAGCCCTGCGGCACGCCCAAGGACTCGCCCACGTTTTCAAAGACGCTCGCCGTCAGAGGCGGCATGTATGGCATCACTTGGGCCTTGCATCTGTGCTGAGCATCGATGGGGAGATATACCGACGCCATGAGGCGGCGCTTGGAGTTGGCCTCGGGCGCAAAGGGGTCTATACGGCTCGGGTCGACGAGCTCAATGTGCTTGACAGCGACATCGTAAGAGCCTGGTGGAGAGGGAACCAGGAGAGCATGGGCTGCTCCAAAGAGTAGAGACAGTGTGAGGAGATGCATTTCTGTGTGAGCTTGGCTGTCTTTGAGGAATCTGATCTTTCGGACGCAGCTTCGGAGGTCTAGTTATATAAAATAGAGCTCTTGGCGACGGTCCCTCGTGTTAATCAGATCTCACGCATTGGTCCATCCTACGCAGAAGGATCGCCTGCGCCACACTTAAAGTACGTACGACAGTTACATATGAAGCACGTACATGACAGGTTAGTATTATAAATTGATATTACATATGACCAGGCCCCAGTGGCCGCGTCATGCTGAACAGCTAACATAGAATTATTTCGACTCGCCCAGGCAGTAGATTCTTCTCAGATCATTATGTCTGAATTAAATAGGATATCTCTATGACTAGCTGCCTCTCTTTAAACATACTGTCTGAAAGATCTTAAAGATATATGCCAACTCAACACCAAGAGAGGTAGCACATCAGAGGCTTCTTGCCGTTACAACTATATGAAAGCATGCATAATAAGAACGGTGTGAAAACACTTCATCCAGGTCCCTTTGTTATGGAATTCTATCCGAGCTCCATTGTTGTTTAGACATCCCCGCGAGAGAACACAGTTGCTCCAGGTGAAGTTGGAGCAATTCAATAGTCTGGGGCCTTTGTTAAGAACAAAGACAATGCAGGCATCAAGAGAATTGTGCATAAATAGGTTAAACGCCAAACATGTTCCATTGTGGCCGGCACCTCGAACACTTCAAGATGCTTCTGCATAAGCTATCCCATCCAGAACCTATCCTTCCATGCGGTTCAGCTCAGCTACCAACCCATCATCACATCGTCAGATCGTCAAAACTACCTTACACAAACACCCGCAAAAACTCAACTAGCGCCATCATAGCCATAGCCTGTCCGTACGGCATGCTCGTCCGTGGGATATCCTTATAATGCTGCAAGTCATGGCCCATACCCGTGCCAAATGACGTGTTGAGCAACTCTCCCTCCGGGCTAATGTTTTCCAGCACAGCCTTGATCGCCTTGACTGCCACCTCAGAGTACTGCTTGCCCACGTATCGCCGTCGCTCAGCCTTGAGCATGCCGTATGCAAAACCCGCAGTAGCACTGGCCTCGACGTACGAGCCCTCCTCCTCTGAGACGTCCAGGAGTGTGCGCCACAAGCCGTTGGGGACCTGCAGCTTGGCGAGAACCTCACACTGGCTCTCGAGGGTGTTGATGAGGTGCGAGCCGAGAGGATCGTCAGTCTTGAGTCCGACCAGCTCCAGGAACTCGGGGATGACAATGGTGACCCAGCTGTTGCCGCGTGCCCATCGTGCATCTGCAAAATTGTGACCACCATCCTTGAAAGTCCAGCCGTGGAAGAAAAGTCCCGTCTTTGTGTCAAATAGGTACTGGATGTGAAGAAGGAACTGTTTCTTGGCCTCGGCGACGTAATGCGGCCTATTGAGGACTAGACCAATCTTAGCCAGCGGCATCACCGTCATCATGAGGGTGTCATCCCAGAGCTGCTGGTCGTTGACCTCAAGGTAGGTAATGTGCTGCATGCCGCCGTGTCTGGTGCGTGGGAGGTCGTGGTATGCCCACTCGGCCCAGCTATCGAGCCAGGGCAGGTATGTCGGGTTACCAGTCTTCTCATAGACGAAGGCCAGGGTTAGGAAAACAGCCATGGTGTTGATATTCTTGCCCTTGTGGCCCTCCTTGAAGCGGGCCTGGAACCAGTCCTCGATGATCTTGAGCCACTCATCCTCTCCCGTCATCTCGTAGTACTTCCAAATGCCATACAGGCCGATGCCGTGCGTCCACTCCCAGTCGTTCCAGCCCTTGGTGTCGATGATGCGGCCATCGTCGAGTTTTAGCAGGAACTCTCCAGTTGTGTCCTTAATGTTGACGAGCTCATGGATGAGAAGACGGATCTGCTTGTGTACGTCTTCCGCCGCGACGCCGTGCATGTGGGAAGGCATGATGTGATGAGGGAGTGTGTGAAGAAGAGGGGTAAAGTAAAGAGAGGGAGCCTGGTAGAGTATGGCGCGATAATTCGGAGGGAGCCTCTACCTCTCCGTAATAATCCTGTGCGTGATGTTGTGTTGACCGAGCGCTTTTTTTTTCCAATCACTCGCCTGGTCACTCAACAATGGAACGAAACATGGGAACAACGGGATCAACACGGGGGGAAGGCGGTAAGCATCTTAATAGTGAGGCAAGTCGACCAGGATGCCCACAGCCGCGCCAACGGCTCCCGCTCTCTCATGCCATTCGGACTCTGAGTGGCCATCTGAGCTTCCCCGCGAAGACCCATGAACCCACAACTTCGGTCCGAAGCAGACCGAGCCCTGAGCTTCGGTCAAGTCACGCCGTCCTATGAGAGGCCGGGAACGTCACTCCACACCCTCTCCGCACTCTGGAAAAGAAACTTGGTTCTGTGGGGGTGGGGGTCTGGGGGCGCCTCAAGATGGGGGCGGAGACTCAGGCCTAGGTGAGCGTCCGAGAAGGGTAATGGTAAAGAGCTATGATGAAGCCATAACGAGTTGGGGGAAACATGGTGAAAGAAAAGACCGAGGTTTCCGAACCTAGATGCTAGATCGGCAATTGTTTGCAACGAGGCAAAGAGAGAAGACTTGGCGCTAATGTTTGACTGTGGGACTGCCATTCTCATTACGGGTACAGTACATAATCCACAGAGCCGTAACCTTATTCTCTTTGTCGGTCAATGGGCTTCGTAATGGCCTCAAGAAATCAGATACAGAGACTACCCTACTCCTCCCTTCTACGTCAACTCATGACGGACACACCATGACAGACAGACAAGGATGATGCGGAGTAACTTGTGCCGTCACTTCACTTCCCCAATTTCTTGACAGGGGAACACAAAAGCACCTAGGCATCAGCATTGGAGTACCCATGCCAACTCACCACTATGCACCGAAATCCTTTCCAGAATAAACCGCCCTCAGAAGCACGGCTTTCCCTTTTCACAAATCATGCCACGTCTGATGACGATGATGATCGAGCCTCCCCCTGACACGCAGGGTTGCATTCCGCCCTCTCCAACCCACACAGCTCACCTTTCCCCGTCCACAGACCACTGGTATTATCCCTCAAGCGGAGATCCTGGTCCTTCTCACTTTTCGGTCCCAACTCAGTGGGCCCTCCTCTCCTGAGAACCACATCTTCAAGCCAACCAGCATGAACAGTTGGAGATGAAAGAGTCGGGGTCAACCCTCAAGCAGGCTCTGCCGCATAACCGAGCATGCCAGAGAGCCATTCGGGCATTCGGTCCAAACCCAAGCGAGGCACGACTCGCCCCGTGGGGCCCTCCTCTCTGGGCTTTAGCGGTCTCACTCGTCTGGAGACCCAAGACTGGGGCGTCTGGGGGAGATGGGGAAGCCCAAGCCATCTCCGCACCGAGTCAGACGGGGTGGCACCTGGGGAAGCCCATTCGCTCGCCTCCTCTCCCTCCAGACCCCAGGATTGTAAAAACCCGTCAGTCCGGCTCTCGAGCAGATAAAAAAGCTCTACAGCCCATCTCTTGGCCAAGGAATTTCCCCAAGGCCAAGACAACCACCAAGCCCTCCCCTCACATTGCCCCCCTCACCCCTTCTTGTCACATTATGGAGTCCGCCGACAAAGTCCAGCGCAAGCAGTCCCTCGACGAGGTTGAAGACCTTGAGAAGCCCACTCAGCACTCTGAGCGAGTTGACAAGGAGCTTGCCCAGTATGTCTCTGATGTCCGTATCGACATCAGCCCCGAGCGTAGCGCCCAGCTGCGAAAGATGATTGACAAGCGAGTCCTTCTCGTCATGATCTGCACCTACTTCCTACAGGCCATTGACAAGGGCACTCTCTCGTTTGCCTCCATCATGGGTCTCACGGCCGACACTGGCCTGGAGAACCCAGACGGGACCATCAGCCAAAATGTAGGTTATCCCGATCGACCCCGTCTTAAACAAGGCTGACCATTGGCTTCAATAGTTCTCATGGCTCACTACATGTATCTATCTCGCGATCCTCGTCGTCGAATACCCCCAGAATTGGCTCATCTCTCGCGTTCCCATTGCCAAATACCTGAGCTTCTGCATCGTCGCCTGGGGTGCTACTCTTGCCTGTCATGCTGCCTGCAAGAACTTCACTAGCCTAGTTATTGTGCGAACTCTCCTGGGTATCTTTGAGTCAGCATGCCAGCCATGCTTCGTCATACTGTCTGCCATCTGGTACCGTCGTGAGGAGCAGGCCTCTCGTGTCACCTACTGGTGAGTCCCCCCGAAGACCAAGAACCACACAAAAGCTAACCAGCCGCAATAGGTACATGATGAATGGAGCCCAGCAGATCGTCGGTGGCCTCCTCGCTTACTGCTTCTCCCTCATCAAGAGGGGTCCCCTCAGGTCATGGCAGTGGCTCTTCCTCTCGTACGGTGTCATCTCGGTCATCTTTGGCTTCTTTGTTCTTTGGTGGATGCCGGACTCTCCCATGCGCGCCAAGTGCTGGACTGAGCAGGAGAAGCACGAGATGGTTGAGCGCGTCCGCGACAACCAGACGGGTATCCAGAACAAAAAGTTCAAGAAGGAGCAGTTCCTCGAGGGTCTCAAGGACCCCCAGACCTACGGCTATGCTCTCATTTCTCTGTGCACCACCATCCCTACGTCTGGTCTCGGCGCCTTTGCCAACATCATCATCAAGAGCTTCGGGTTCAGCACGCTCGAGACTCAGCTGCTTGCCATGGTCCTGGGCTTCTACATCATCATTGTGCTGCTATCATCGGCTTGGCTTGTCAAGAAGACCAATCAGAACCTTCTGGTTATGCTCGGCTTCTGCGTCCCGTGAGTCTACCCTTCTTTGCCCTTCCTTGACTATACTGACAGCCGCAGGTCCTTCGTTGGTACCATCCTCCTCATGACCATCCCCAACCGGACCTTTGCCCAGCACGTCGGCCTCCTCATCTGCTACTACATCACCCTCTCCTTCTGGTCCGCCCAGACTCTCGGCCTCTCCATGATCTCGCGAAACACCGCCGGTCAGACCAAGAAGACAGTCGTTGTCGCAGTCAACTTCATCATCTGGGCCGCCGGTAACGCCATCGGCCCCCAAGTTTTCCTCTCCCACGACGGCCCCCGCTACTTCATCGCCTTTGCCACCCATCTGGGCTGCTACAGTCTTCTGGTCATCATCATCCTCGCTCTGCGATGGTACCTGCGCCGTGAGAACCGTCGCCGCGATGAGATGGCCGCTGCGGGCATTGCCGAGGCGAGTATCGATGCCACGGCGCGCGCTTGGGATGATCTTACGGATAAGGAGAACCTGAGCTTCCGCTACGTCTACTGAGTTGCTTATGTTGTGTACGATGCATATAGATGGAGCTTGTCCAGCATATATAGAGATTGCTTCAAGACGGTTAATGTTTGGTCTTCCTCGAGTCCTAGCAATTTAATGAGTACGACGAGATTTACATATACGTTCGGTTCCGATGGGTTTTCATCGTGTGTGTCTGTTTATATAATAAGGACTAGCTTCCTCTATGTTCTCTTAAGCGTCTTGCCTACAAGACAAGACATCATCGACCATCGCCGAAGGGTGGGCACCCTCCTGCCTTGAACCATACACTTGGCCGACATTCCCATTGCCTATATCCATCTGAGCCTGCTTCTAATTATACTGACCAACTCAATGAGTGCCATTAACAAGCCTCTCGTTATACGTCCAACTCTCTGTCCCTTGATCATCTACTGAGGAAAGTTTGCCAATCTGCTCACTAGAATTGTTGAGCGCGAAATCGCCGACTTGGCGCCGAGAGTCGCAGGTCGGGCCTTGACATGTACTCTGCGTCATGTCATTGACCATTCCACAGGTACCCGTTGAAGTCGGGCGGGTGCATTCCCAGCGTGTGTGGTCCCTACGGACTTGACTGGTAGTCTCGGAGGGCATCTTGAGTAATCTGGTCGAACTGATCCTTGGTGATGTGAGAGATTGTGCTTTCGCTGCAACACTGCTTGCCAAGTCGATGTGCTGTTAAGGTTGCCTGCAAGGTTGCCTGCTTAGTGAGTGAGAAGAGTTAGATCGGGTGTCTGTTGAAGTATTATAGGATGTAGATCGTACAGAGGTGAACACTCTGGACATTTGATCTCTTTTATATCTCTAAGCCATTAAAAGCGTGCGCCAGCCCATGACTGAGTGGTTGTCCAAGCCCTCCTTAACTGTGAAGTCGCCCATGCACTGATTCGTTACAGAACGAAGCCAGTGAATAGGTGATTATACACCGTTAACGATCAGAGACATTTCTTTCTTACTCTCACTCACAGGTTTGTGTACGGTCTGGGTGAACCAGCTGCGTGAAGAACCCGCGGTGAGGGTGACACTGACTAATGGAGCCTCGATCCCGACGTTCTCCATTCAACACAACAGACAACATAGCAGTCCACTCAAAGCCTTTAAGAAGTCCATGCAGAGTCTTTTACATCTACTTAAAAACAAGCTATGCTCTGATCCCTCATTAACCCAGTTCTCGTACATGCGAAGCCGATCATATCGTCAATCATCAACTCAACCCAACCCTCGCAAAGACCATGACGCCTAACCCTCAACCATACTCAAACACCCAATCCACATCGGAATACATGAAAAGAGAGCAAGACACAGTGTTAGGAATTCTCAAGTGAGATACAAAAGGGCGCAAGACATTGTGATGGTGCTACATAAACAGAGGCGGAGTGTTGGGGTGCCACTGGAGAACAAAAAAGGGTGTCAGGCGAACGAGTTCAAAACGACAGCAGATACTGAAAGGTCGCAAGCGACAGCCTCAAATGCAACATGGTTCTGGCGACGGGGAGGCTAGTTGGACTCATGGCGGATAGTCTTGAATTGCATCTCTCGGCCCCGATGCCCGAGCGAGACGAGTCTGAGGAAGTTGTGGCAGTCTCCGTCATGCTTGGCACACCCAGTGCGTTCAAGCTCCTCGGTCGAACAACCAGTAAGATCCTTCTCGAGCAACGTCTTGAAGCAGATCCAATCTGTGTCCCGGTTAACCAGGTCATGAAGCCGTCGGGACTGAGCTCCGTCCGCGCGGTCGGGCATCAAGAGGCTAATCAACGTCATGATTCCGACCTCACCCTCCACATCAAGACGCAAGTGCTTGGAAATGGCGTAAAGAGTCTTCATGAAGCCAGCCATGGGATGGTGCTCTTGCCCCAGGGCGGCATTGGGCTCCGGCGTGGGCGTGTCGGAACGAAGGCGCTTGAGACCGAGGTGTTGCATGTGACTTGTGCTTATGCTTTCATCGTCCGCAACGAAGAGGCTGCTCTCGGCGCCAGTGCTCACCGATCTGTTACGATGCATCCTGTTCTCCTTTCGCGTGTGGCGTAGGTCCTTCGGGGGAGAAAGGAGATTGAGCGTCGACTCCTGGTGCTTCTTCCGTGCCTTGTTATGCTTGAGTTGATCAAGCTCGAAATCATCCAGCGGGACTGGGTTCATAGGAGGTGTCGTGAATCTCTTCTCCGTGTAGGTTACTCCACACTCGTTCATCTCCTTGAGGAGATGTCCCTGGACTCTGTCAAAGATCTGGGCCGCTTTGAACGGGACGGTCAGGCCTGACGTGGCCCTGATGTCGTCAATCCCGTTATAGAGCTCTTCCAACTCTTTGCTTCGGGTCAAGAGAGTGCTTCGAGGGGAAAGTAGCTCGGGGATAGCCACCTGCAGGAAAGATCGGGCAGCAGGCTTGGGCTGGGCAACAGGCTCAAGAACAAGCTCGGGGACGGGCGCGGGCGCGGGAACAGGGTGGGGAGGCTCCAGGGCAGAGTCGTCCTCCAGTCGAAGTCTGTCATAGCAATGGGACATGACCACATCAGATGGATCAGGGCAAAGGAGTTTCTTCCACGGCCACTCAGGCTCATTGGGGCGAGATCGCTCAACTATGGTACGCACAAAGGTCAGCAATAGAGACGATTCGAGTCCAAAGGACTACGTACAAAAGCATTTCCAAGTGATCATGTCACTCATGTACGCAAAGAATTTGCCTGGAACCTCCTTCCACTGAGCCTTCTTCAAAGCCAGCGTGATCGCCCTGTCAGCGTAATCGCGCAGCTCGCCATACCGGTGCATCTCATTGGGGCTCATCCACTCGCAGTAGGCCCTTATGTACTCGCGGCGCTCGCTAGCGTCGGGCTCGTTGCCAATCCATCGAACAGGAAACCTTTCGCCGGGGTGGGCGGGTGAGTCGAAGTCATAGTGAGGGGGGACCCGGGTCTGGTTGAAAAAGATGGGCATGATCGAGACAAGTGCGTGGGTGCGTGGGTGATGATAGTGGCGTTGGAAGAATGCTCAACTCGCGCGCGCTCCTGAAGATGAGATAAGAACAGTTCAAACAAAACTCAACGAGATTGTTTTGGGCTGCAGTTGCTACGAGCAACTCATGCGTTTGTTTACGTGGTGAAGGCGTTGACAGTGCCGGCCAGTGGCAGAACCGAAGCGAGCAGATGCCCCCTCCACCATGATGAAGACCTACCAACCATGACAGGTCGTGTAAATTGATCAAGTGCCTTTCTCTCCATCATAGCGCATTCTTTCCACAAAAACGGTCCATCATGACGAAGCGTGATTCGCTCCGAACGTCCAAGGGAAACCGTCGCTCCCGCAAGAGTCGAGTGTCAGACCCAAGCATCTACCCCTACTCCCCTCACCCTCAAGCAACCGCTACCACGTCCTCAGCTCCTCGCCGAGCTTCTGCTGCGTCCTACACTACTCAGACTTATCCTCATCGACCAAACCCAAGCCGCGATCCCCAGAAACAAGCCTACACGGGCCGTCCTCTCCCTCCTCACACTGGCCGTCCGATCGAATCCCACGAACCTTTCCTCAGAGACGACGAGGACCTACGACTCAAGACTCTCCAACATCCTGATGGAACTACCACTGGTTTTCCCGTCATCAATAGGGACATGCCTAGGACAAACAATACCTGTGCGCCCCTCCCCCTCCCCAACGGCGGCATCACCTTCGACGTCGACAACGTAATGAGCGCTTTCGCAGCCCGTGAACGCGCCAAGGGGGCTTTTGTGAGTGGAAACAACGCCGGCACCATATCTTCGCCCCCTTGCGACATCAACAGACTTGCCCTGCGTGATGGCGACTGGAGCCGCCTGGTTCCTCGTCCAGCTGTCAAGGAGATCAACGAGGCAGACGGCGGTTTCCGACTCTCTGAACTAAAGAGCTTCGTTCCCGAGATGCCCGCCCCGCCAGGACGCAAGAGGAAGCACTAGCAAGGTTGTGATGATTGTAACGGGAGAGTCGGTATGAATAGGTATCATGAGGAACAAAGGAGAATGGCGGATCAGCGTTTTGTTCTGCTAGTGGCTGGTTGTGGGAGCATGGGAAATATGGAAGAACAAAGAACGACCACAACGTCAAACATTTGTGAGCAGATGTCATGTACGCAACCTAGCCACAAGCACAATCATCTCAGACCCAGATCTGCTACAACAGCTCCCTCAAAGCCAATCCCTGTCTCGATGAACCCGAGTAACTAAGATGACTCTTCGACAGAAAAAGTTCCCGTCAACTTCAAATCCCGCGAGCTTTCTCCCACAGCAACAGTGAATTCTCCGCCGCCCGTCACCCGCCAGTTCTGCTCCTCCACGTCCCAATAACTCAAGTCCCTCCTGGTGAGCTTGAACTCGACCGTCTTGCTCTCTCCCTTCTTCAAAAACACCTTGTCGAAGCCGCGCAGAACACGGACGGGGTGGTCGGCCTTGGAACTGTCAGGGTACGACAGGTAAAGCTGTGGTACCGCCTTGCCATCGACAGAGCCGCTATTAGTGACGACCACAGAGATTGTCACCACGGGTGTCCAGAGATTAGGGTTGCCACCTTCTTCGCCTCCGGCTGGTGAGGGAGGTTGCTCGACATCATAGCCGTCCGGGTAAGGATAGTCGCCAAGCTTGACGTCGTCCGCTGACTCGATGTATGGATAGATCCATTTCTCGAGCCTACGGATACCCTTCGGCCAAAGACCCTCCTTAACATCGGGAATCTTGTCGCCCAGTTTTGGAGGCTCTGCGCTGGGCTGCGATGGTCGCAGCGCTGGGAGGTGAGATACTGCTACATCCCGGTTGACCTTCAGATCCTTGTACTCGAAGGAAGTGTACGAAAGTCCAAATCCAAACTCGTATCGAGGCTCGATGTCGTGCTTGTCAAAGTGTCGGTAGTCAATGTACAGACCCTCACCAAAGTCCTGCTGAGGAACGACTCCGTTGGGCAGATACAGCACCTGGCCACCTTCACCGTAGTCCGCAAGGGTCTTGCCGATGGTGTACGGGAGCTTTCCGCTGGGGCTCTCGTCGCCAAAAAGGATACTTGCGATGGCATTCCCGCTCTCCTCGCCGGGCAGGTTGGCTGCCAAAAGGCCCTTGATTCGCGGGTGGTTGATCCATTTCTCCACGACGACAGGACCAACGGCATGAATCACCACAATCGTCGTGCCAGTTCCGCCACCGCAGTGATTGGCAACCTCGGTGACGAGTGCGTCGCCTCCCTTCTGCAGGAATAGATCGTTTCGATCGCCGTGCACGCTGTTCCAGCCGAGGTATCCCTCACCCGAGTCCGAGTTGGCAAACACCAAGCAAACGTCCTGTTCCGTTGCCTTCTTGGCATCCTTGACCTTGTTCGACAGAAACTCGCTCACCTCGACCTTGTCCTTGTTGAACTCTCTTCGTAGAGCCTCAATCGGAGTGATCAAGAACGGGAAATCAGCTGAGCCACTGCCCCAGCCGGAGCCAAGCGTGCCATCATTGCACCCTCGGTCGGGGCAGCTGTTGGGTCCTTTTCCAGGGCCAGCATCCTCGCCGAAAATCCCAATCTTGATCTTTCCAGGTCCCTTGTCAGGCTCGGTGCTGTTCAGGGCCCCGTCGCGAGTCAGAGGAAGAACTCCGTCGTTCTTGAGCAGGACAGTTCCCTCGATGGCAATCTGTCGAGCGAGTTCGGCGTGGTTATCTTGGACATTGACAAACTGGTTCACCACTTGCTTTTCCTGAGGCGAAGGGCTCCCTGGGGCCAGGATCCCAATCTTATCGTAGGTCCACGACGAAAAGTTGGGGCCCTTGTTCTCGTGCTTGTCCTGCCCGAGCTGATAGAAAGAAGCAACAATTCGGAGTGCCATGTCATTCAGTCGATCCACCGGCAAAGATCCATTTAGAACAGCCTGAGTAAGGCGAGGGCCCCATAGGGAATCGCCATCCTGCCATTTCAATCCGTCTCCAGGCATCGACATGTCCAACCCAGCCAAGGCACTCGCCACGCCAGATCGTTGGGCCAGCCAGTCCGACATGACGAATCCCTGAAAGCCCATCTCGTCCTTGAGGATGCCGTTGAGCAGCTTCGAGTTCTGGCAAGCGTACGAGTTGTTGACCATGTTGTATGAGCACATGACGCTCGCGACTCCAGCCTTTACGGCATCCGCAAATGGCCAAGCGTAGAGCTCATGCAGAGTCCGGTCGTCGATATTGGACGACATGGAGTTGGGGAGACCCCACTCCCAAGACTGACGGAAATGCTCCTGCTCATTGCCAATAAAGTGCTTGATCGTGGCCATGATGCCTTGGTCTTGAATGCCTCGAATAGTTTGTGCGCCGGCAATGCCTTGCAAGTAGGGGTCAGGGCCAAATCCCTCCCAATTGCGTCCACCGGCAGGCATCCTTCCGAGGGGACCGATAGCAGGGCCCAAAATGACATTGACGCCCTTTCCCTTTGCTTCCAATGCATGAGCCTTGCCGCGCTCATACATCAGCTCCCTGTTCCACGTAGCTCCGACAGTAACACCAGCAGGCCAAGCTGTCGCGTTGTCGGCAAAGCGGATTCCCAGAGGACCATCCTGAAGCGCCAGTGAAGGAAATCCGGCATGGACCGCGGTGCCTGTATTTCCCACAGCCAAGCCCATACTCCATCCTGTTCCTGTGGTGATATTGACCTTCTCAGCCAACGTCATCTTTACAACGAGCTGGGCGGCCAAGCTGTAACTCTTCTCCCAGTTCTTGGAGGAACCACCCTTGGGGCTTGGGTACCATGGCGGCGATTGTCCAAAAGTCGGTGGTGCTTTGATCTTCTTCCAAGCAAAGGCGCCAAGAGCTGAAATAACAATCCAGACAGCCAGAACAACTCCGACAACGGTCAGGCAGCATCGTTTGGGTGAGGCACGGCACGGGCGGAAGAGACCAGTAGGCTTCACTCGTCGGGGAGGGACATAAGTCGGCGGCGCCTCTTGAAATGGAACGAGATTCTTGTCGAGATAGTCTGTCGCATCAATGTCGGAGTAGTCATCGGAGCTCCCGTCAAAAGACGAGCGCCCGCCTGGCTTGAGGAGGTTCTCCCTACTAGGATCCATGGAGGGCGGTTTCCCCTCTCATTCAGCACGTCGAAATCACAAGAAAGACCACGGTGATGTCGGGGAGAATCCAAGACACTGTTTTACTACAAGGATGAAAAAGAAAGACTGGTCATTTATAGGACCTTGTAGGAATGATGCCGTTGCTCTCAGTCTCAAAGCGCGATCAGCATTGTCTTTATCTCCAGACTCCACCCCGTGTTGTGTTGCGTCACGTCACATTCCGGCCATCCACTTCTTGAGGCGTGAGGAGGTGTGGGGCCAGCGCAGGCCTCACGATTGGTGCAGCACCACCATGGACTGGAAATCGGTACCTTGGTCCTCTGCGAATTTGTGAGATCACTCAAGTACCGTTTTTATGTCCCTCCCGTCTCCATGCCCCTTGACCTTGCCCCCACATCCTCAGGGCGGTTTCGGAACCACGGCCCGGACTACCCTATATCGAGACAAGACCAGGGACGGTCAATTAATTGCCGATCGAGACAGGGCATTAGACAGTGAAAACAATTCCAAGTTCATTATCTGGAAATATCTTGTATCTCTGTGCATATATCTGGATGCAAAGATATATGAAAATGTTGGTTCATATGGTGTAAAGTTGGACATGGTGGCGACTGGTTTTCATACACAATTTTGAATCAATCACCATCACAGGGAAGCAACCATAAGTCCGGACTAGGTATCCAAGCGTGAGGGAGGATTGAAAGCTCGTTTTGCCCAAAGGCAAATACTCTTGTATTTTCATATGAAATAAAGTCATAATTGTATTTAAAAAAAAACACACCAGAGTGCCGTATCTCGTTCAGCTCAGTGGTTGATCGCGATCGATTTTAAACCACGTGACGCCTCCATCCCCAACTACTAGCGGGGGACGGCCGGGCTTTCTTCGGCAATACCAAAAACCGGCCTCAACTCCAGCTTTCCCTGAGTGCAACATCTCCAAGCAAGCAGCAATCCGCATTGCCCGTCCCAATTGCCCAGCATGTCGATGTTCCGCGCGAAGAAGCTCGACCTGGGCTGCTTCGTCAACGTCCGAACTTTGCGTGATCACACAAAACGCAAGGTGTTTGAGCAACACGAGACTGAGAGGTGCGCAAACTCTTCCCACCCTCCCGAAGCCTCACGTTTTGCACGGTCCTTCCAGCGGGGGGTACCGTGTCTCCCCTCCTCATACCTCAATTTGAGTCATTTGCTAATACAGTGCTCAGACAAGCCCTCCGTTATATCATCCGCAACACCACACTTCCTCCCCGAGTCCGCGCCGAGGCTCAGCTTCAGTTAACGCAGATGCACTGCTATACCCGACCGACTCAGATCCGAAATCGATGCATCATGGGTGGCCAAGGCCGTGGTGTATTGAGCGACTTCAAGATGACCAGGGTACGCGCCGAACCGAGGCCACGACGCCAGACGCTGAGGCTGACACTTGCAGTACAACTTTCGAATGGAGGCCATGGCTGGCAACATTCCTGGTGTGAAGAGGGCCAGTTGGTAGAGAACTGGTCTGTGGAAATTGAATATCGTGGAGGAGAGCAATGTATGACTATGTGCTGGCATCGCGGGAGGCTTGGCCTGGGAAAGACGACATCTCAGCCCGCGACAGGAGGCGGACGAGATATAACTGTACAATACCATCTAACGCCGATCGGAATACCTGCTTCTCCAACGTGACGACGAAATTGATTGCGGGACTCGCCTGCCATTTGATTGAGTAGTGATGGTTGTGAGGGGCTTGACGAGGCGACGCCTCTCCCCATAATAGAAAGGTACTAGCTCACCAGTCTTTAGGACGTATGAAGAGCATGAGGCTACCCCTAGGTATGTACCTGGCAATCATGGCTATCGCTTAAACGGATGGTCACAATGTCACGAGAGACTTGGCCA